AATGCAGTGTTTTTCAATTTTGGCTACTTTTAAGATGTATGGACTTCGGCTCCCAGAATTCCCTAATGTAGCTGGCTGGGAAATTCTAAAAGTTGAAGTCCATACATTTTAAAAGTACCCAAGGTTGAAAAACACTGGCGTAATAGAATAATCTTGCATTAAACATTCCTAATAGGCTACCTGTTTACAGTACCTTCAGAAATATTAATGCTTTTTTAAGCATTAAAACATGTTCCATATAAGCAGAAATATTTTGTTGTAAAGGCAATTTTTGCAGAGAAAAATTGCAGTTGGAAATCCTGTTTTTCTCAAGCTGAAACAGAAATATTCTTGAGGGAACCTTGGAGAGTTGTCTTTAGTCAATATGGACAGAACTAAACTAAATAAGATAGCCCAGAGCTCTACAGGTAGTCCTCGACTTACGATGTTGCTTCACGACCATTCACATTTACAACGATCAAGGAACAGTTACTTTATGGCCTGTAAAAGCACCATTGTAAATGGTGACGCCACCCTGCCCTCTCACATTTGGGGCACTTGGCAACCGGTTAACCACAATTTGTGACATTTTTTTTTAACAGTTTTCCAGCAAAAAATTCTCATTCAAATGAATGGACTTAGGAGCATCATGTTTGCTTAATGACTGCTGGCAAAAAAAAAAATGTCATGAAGTCACTTCCAATCATGTGTGCCTCGACTTTACGACCACATTGCCAGTCCCAGTTTTGGTCCTAAGTTAAGGACTACCTGTAGAGGATGAGGCAGCTTACTTGCACTTTACGACTTGCTAGGGAGGGCAATTTTGCTTCCATCTAATTCTCGCTTTACTGACCAAGCTTTCTATTCAGTAGTTTTAACAACAATGCAGAATTATCTAATTTGCAAAGGGTTAAAAAAAAAAAGAAGGAATCAAGATGGCAGCTGCAACTATGCAATGAAAGGCCCGCCTCCGTTTATAGGTGTCAAAGGGCGGGACTTTGATCACAGGAGGCCGCCATCTTGTCCTTTTGGACCTATTCGTGCAGACCCCTCTGCGTGTTTGGCACGGAAGAAAATACGCACGTTGGCCATTTGTGTGCACGCTTCTAAAGGATACACGAGTATTTTTGCCCTAGCGAAATACATGTTGTGCCTACTTTTTCTCCAATCAACACAACGTTGATTGTGTCGCTTTCTCTCCCAAGCTACATATTTTTTGCAGGGCGCTTTGGAATCGGAAAAAGGCACTACAGTACTTTGAAATGCATATTTTACACACTTATCCGTTCCAGGTTCTGACCCAAGAGAGTTTTTTTAAAGACAGGTAGTCCCTGGACTTATGACTGTTAATGGAGCCTGGCCATTATGGTTATGACAGTCATAAAACAGTTCATGTAACCGATCCAATTGTACGACCTTTTTTTTTCTGGGAGTCCTTAAGCAAACCAGTGGCTTGTTAGGGGGGCGGTTTTGCTGAAGTAAATTCCAATTTTCAGCAAAACCATCATAAAATGCAGCCATGGGACCACAGGATGCTGCAAACGGCTATAAATATGTGTTGCCGACTGCCTGAAATTTGGTCACATGACTCTGTGTGTGGGGGGGTGACTCCCAAAACTTTGAACTTGGGTTACAAGTAACCCCCAAATAGGGCTGTTCTAACTTTGAACAGTCACTAACTGACTAGTCATAAGTTGAGGACTACCTATTTCTCCATAAACCCTCATGCTAAGAAGTATTGCAATTAGTTCCAGGACAAAAAATGTGTAACTTGAGTGATTTCCCCCCCTTCCCCCTTTTAAATACATGCAAACAACATTCTTTCTCTGAATTGTTCGGAATCTGTGAAGGGCTTTTATGGAGTTGAGGTCCACGTGGTTCAGAATATTGTGTTGTAAGGTGGGAAACTTCACAATTCATTCTATTGAGAACAATTCTACTAGTGCGGTGAAGCAATTGCTGTTTTCCAACACTACTTCCTTCTTGGTTATGCAAATATAGCATTGTAATTTCTCTAAATGTGCCTTCTCTCCCGTCAGGTACTAAAGAAACACATCTGTTCCCACCGTTTGTGAGAAGCAATCATTTCTATAAGATATTTTTATATCTCTCTGGTTTTTTTTACATCTTTTTGTTGTCTTTTATATATATTTTATATATATAAATATATATATATATATATTTTATCCTAAAACTCTTGTCTCTGTGCCTATGTTCATTCAGTAGGGAATTCAGATTGTACGCTGGTTTATGAAAGTTTGTCTCCATAGTTGTGGACTGTTGTCGATGTTTAAATCTTCTCAAGTTCGTATAACAACGTTTTCAAATTTGCGCGTTTTCAAGTTTGCATCGGGTAAAGTCACCTGGACCTCTAGACTGCTGAGACTACAAAGCCCATACTGCCTTAGCAGTATAGCTCTTGCTGGCTGGAACTAATGGGTGTTGAAATCTGTGACACCTGGAGCCGCTTTTGACCCCGATTCTACAGTTATTGGTGGGTACATATATGCTCAGGGTCACCCTCTTGCCTTTTTCGAGATCCCCTCCTGTCTCCTATAAATCATAAAAGATTCGAACAGACGGTCATTCCTACAGCCCTCCAGTGCACGGGGAGCAGCCTAGGAGCTTCCTGTGGAAAATGGGCTTGTGAACCTGGGGTGACTTCAACCCCAGAACAAAGCCAGAACAATCCCTCTGGGAAGAAGTAAAGCAATCCAGGTTGGGTCGTGTTACGCAGATGGCTGTGTAAGTAATACCACCTTGGGTGGAAGGGGGGGTGTGCTTTTTCCGATCCTGGAATTGGGAGGTAAAGGGGGGGGGGGGGGGCTGGAGGGGACCCACACGGAATCTCAGGTGAGGTTAACCCTTTGCAGGGATGAAACCTTTTGCGCTGGTAGGAATGCAGGAAGGAGAATAGCTTGTAAAAATGCGGGAGGGATGAAAATTGGACCAAAGGAAAAGCAACCTGAAGCAATAGAACAAAACCAGTCAGGTTTATGTAGGTGCTTTTGATTTATTCATTAGATCAGCTTTCTTCAACCCTGGCAACTTCACACTCACATATATTCAATTGATATATGGATATATATATGGCATATTCAGTATATATTTTATTCAATATTCATCTAATGTGTGGATTCTGGGGAACTCCTAGAATTTCCCAGCCACAAACAATTCTGAGAGTTGAAGTCCATGCATCTGAAAGTTGAGAAAAGCTACGTTAGATTAATATTGAATATAATATATATATATATATATACTACATTTCAAAAGCATGCTGGCTGGGGAATTCTACAGTAGTTGAAGTCCACACATTTGAAAGCTGACACGGTTGAGAAATACTTCATTAGATGAAAAGAGCCACCTTGCTTGAGGCAGCCTAATTAAAATGCAATCTTAAAAAATAAAAATGAACAAGTTACTATATTTCACGATTCCTCATTTTTCAAATGAGGCAACTCATTCTTGAAGGATGTGCCAGAAACAGCTACTGAATAAGTACGTCCGCAAGACGTGGTCCCCAAAACATCAAGCTCCATCACATCGCTCTGGCTACTCTCGCTTGTGGTTTTGATCCGCCTGCTCTGGACGCTCCGGCCACTTAACCATCTTTCAAAAAGATGAACTTCTATGTGCTGGAAATGAGGGGAGAAACAAAGTTGCGACTACTTTTCAAGAAATGCTGCTGCTTTTTGTTGAATGAGGAAAAAGGAAAGCAGGCCATCCAAGCAATGCTCCGGGTGCCAGCCGAGCATGGAGCAAGGAGAGCCCATAAGCCACAGTCGGGGAAAGAAGGATCCCCCCCATTCAGAGTGTTGAAATCAGGCAGAGATTTTTTGAATCAAATAGTCTTCCCTTCCAGCCGTCCCTTGCTGGTCATAGATATAGTGCTTTTGCCTGCAGCTGCAAAAAACCTTGGTTTTGTTTTGTTTTTGGGTGTTTTTGCAAGTTGCAACAGGTTATTTGCCTTGCGAATAGCTGCCTGCTGAGTCGGAAACATGATCTCTACATGGGAAGAGCAGGAAGCGGCCGAGGCAGCAACTTTGCTCTTTGCCGGCACTGTCACCACCTGGCGAGGCCAGGAACAAAGGGAGACAAAGGCCCCTGTCAAAAGGATCCAGGCCACCCCGTGAAAAAAAAAATCCCCACTTGTTTTGCTCAGGAAGAAGAGGAACCAGCCACCCAACACACCTGTTTGTCTGGGGAAAGAGGAACTTCGCTCTTATTGTCCTTCTGAGTCTTTTTTTTTTCAGAAGAGGCGCAATGGATAAGGTAACCTTGAAGACATTCGAGGACAAGTTTGGAGCTTAGGGACCATAGTTGAGCAGTGGCTGCAGAAGCATCTGTGCCCGGTTTAGCTCTTTGTCACTTAACAATAACCGACAATAACCGCGCCAGAGGCCAGCAGGAAACAAGGTGCGAACCAGAAAAGCTCTGATTTTTTGGATAACGGGCTGACCTCTGAGCAGATCCGCCAGGCCTTCCTTGTTCTGTGGGTCTCCTGCTCCTCTCCTCCCCCCCACCCCCTCTGTAGGGGGCATCTCACATTTCCATACCCCCCACAAGCTCCTCCACTGAAAGGTTTACCATCCCAGGGTGACGTGGTAAAAAGTCTCTCTCGCTCTTCTTGCGGAGTTGGCCAATGGCTGGCCACAGCTGCAGCCTGTGTGGGCTGGGCCTGTAACCGATACCCCCCAAGACATCCACCCTGGGCAACTGTCTCTAGAGCCAGGAGGCAGAGAAAGGAGCCCCGAGAGCACCGAGGTCTGGAGAGGAGAGGAGAGAGACATGGCCACCAAAGGGAGGAAGGTGGAAGGCACCAGCGTGGCCTTCCACGTCTCTTGGACCCTCTTGTCTTAGGGAGGCACAGCTGACTTGGCCGTCCAACCACAGAGGGCGACTTTCCCCTCTCTCTGCATCAAGGGCCGCAGGGTCTTCTACAGGGTAGATGTTGGGGTGGCCTTGGTGGACCACGCCGTAAGCTGCCTTTGAAAGCCACCAAGTTTTGGAGCCACTTAACCATGAATTTTGGCTTCACGCAAGAGCAAGTGGCTTGCGTATGTGAAGTCCTACAACAAGGGGGCAACATCGAGCGCTTAGGACGTTTCCTCTGGTCCCTGCCAGCTTGTGACCACCTGCACAAGAACGAGAGCGTCCTGAAGGCCAAAGCGGTGGTGGCGTTCCACCGGGGCAATTTCCGAGAGCTCTACAAGATCTTGGAGGGCTATCAGTTCTCTCCGCACAATCACCCCAAACTTCAGCAACTCTGGCTCAAGGCTCACTACACCGAGGCGGAGAAGCTGCGTGGGAGGCCGCTGGGAGCTGTGGGGAAATACCGGGTGCGTCGCAAATTCCCTTTGCCTCGGACCATTTGGGACGGGGAGGAAACCAGTTACTGTTTCAAGGTAGGTCTTGTTGGAATTGTGTTTTGTCCAAGGGTGTTTCTCAACTTTTGCGGACATCCCACTCCTAACAAAGAAAACTCTTGTTTCCAACACCCGAACCTGTCAATTCTTCAAGCACAAAAAAAAACCAACAATTGCTCTTTGAATAGTTTATACTTGATACTCCAGAAAGGTTATAACAAGTCCTCTCTTGCCTAAATCTACTATGTTCTTCTAATTTATCTTTCTGTATTTCTATCGCACTCAACTCTAGGGTCACTTTATTTCCACTAGAATAGCTTTTGCCTAATTGCCCTCAGGGTATTTTATTTTAATCTTTAAGCCCTTGCATTGCCTCTGTTTCCTCTTTCGTGGATCCAACACTCCTACTTTCTCCTCCTGCCAAGAAATCTCCCTTACTGACCCTCATCTCTTTGTTTCTTTTAGACCCTGCCATCCTACTCTTTTTCCTACCAGTCTCGCCATGTACGCTCCTTTGATACAAGAAACCTGCCCTTTGAAATGTCCTTTTAACCATCGGGACATAAAACTTTTTCAGGCTGGTCTTTGGAAACTGGGGTTCTACTATTTCAGGAAGTCGAAAGGGGAAAAGACAAAAATGTTTCTTGGGTGAAGATTAAAATTTCACCTGATTTAATTCTGGTTAATTTGTTAAATAATTAAAGATCTGTACCGGAATATCTCTCCCATGGATTTACACATTGTTGTTTTTCTTAAGGGAAAAAAGGAAAAAGTTGTAGCCACTTTTAAAGGAGCCCTGCATGGCAGGCCCCAGACTTTCAGGGATTGTAAGGTTCAGGAGTCTGACTTTTCATCACTGCTCAACACTTTTTAACGTCTTGCCTACATCTTTAAAAGTCAACTGAAAATACATAATACAAGTTTTCCTACCATTCTTTCCCTGTTATCCTTGCCTTTGTATTTATCTTATTTACTGCAAAATTTAGATCGGGAGATAGTTGGGGAAGGGGTCTCTTGCCTGCTTCAGTTTTTCATGCCATTTCCCACTTCCTCCAAATTCCTCCAGAAACATCCTGAAATAATCATCTGAAGGAGGCCCTAATCATTCACCTCCAAGAACGTTCTGGAAAAGTTTCAAAAAACATTTATTTTATGCAGCCTTTGGCAGCCGAGGGAGATAATATATGGCCTAGCTCCATTATTATAGTGAAGCAAGTTTTTTCCTTCGCCATTAAATTACAGAACAGCTCAAACCTTCAGGCTTCGCAAAATTTCACCCTTCATTAAAAATAAAAGAAGGGGGCAGGATTGAGTGCTCATTTTTGGAAGACAACCAAGATCAAAGAATGATGACATTGCCCCCTATGGGTTACATTGTAACATTTAACCTGACCTTGAAATATATACACTTAAAACAATACTGTAGGCTTTTGAAGTTGGTCTAACTGGCAAAAGTGGACAAAGTTACTTGCAGCAATTCAAAAAACAAAATGAAAAGAAAAAAGGATTTTGAAATCATAGGAAAACGGCACTCAGGTTATTGATTCTGAATTCCTGCAAAAAGATAAATAGATTTACAGCAAATACAGATTTTGTTGCCCCAGCTGGAAAATGTTTAGAAATTAACAATAAAAATGTTCAAAAAACTGAACTACTGTCTCTGTCTGGGTAGGTTAGAGTTCAGTACCACGCGACACAAAGCTAATTACAATTAACTCACTAATTACAATTAGTGCAGAGAGGAAATTTTTGCTTTTACTATTTGTGTCTGATTATTGAGTCCTTGATTTATGACAATTGGGACGAGAATTTCAGGCGTGACATGATGTGGTCATTAAGCGAGCCACTACGTGACCGTACCCAATTTTACGACCATTTTTACTGCTGTTAAGTGAATCTGGCTTCCCCCCACTGACACCGCTTGTGGGAAGCCAGCATGGAAAGACACAAATCATAATTACATGACTTCAAGACATTGCAACGGTCATAAATGCAACCCAGTTTCCAACCTCCCGACGGCAAGTCACGTGAAAAGGGGGGGTAACTTCGAGGACGGATTGCAAGTCACTTTTTCTGAGGCCTCTGTAACTTTGAACTGTTGTTAAACGAACGGCTTTAAGTCGAGGACTACCTGCGATGCTAAGTTCAATGACTTTTCCTACAGGAGAAATCCCGGAGTGTGTTAAGGGAATGGTATATGCACAACCCCTACCCATCCCCTCGTGAGAAAAGAGAGCTGGCAGAAGCGACTGGGCTGACCACAACTCAGGTCAGCAACTGGTTCAAGAACCGGCGCCAGAGGGATCGTGCGGCAGAGACCAAAGAGAGGTGAGGGGGCTTCTTTGCCAGCAGGAAATTCAAGCCAGCTATTCCGGATTTATTTATTTGTAAAATGTATTAGCCGCCCATCTTGCCATATGGATGACCTCTGGCAGGCTTACAATAGTAAGTTTGCAAACATTAAATTTCTGACCGCAGCAGCAGCATACAGAAAATCCGAGGGGGCCCGGGGCAGAAAAGTGGTCCTGGGGCTAGACATGCAGATGATGGCTAGGATGAGCCAGGAAACGGGGACTGAGGCACGAGCAGGTGTAGAACAGAAGCGCTGGGGGAATCTCAGGTGAGAGGGAAGCAGGGGGAAAGACCTCTCTTGCTTTTCCGTCTTCCGTGCCACTAAGACGGCATTTCTCAACCCCAGACGTTTTGAGATGTGATGGGTTTTAACTATGTGGTATGGCTAATAAATGATTTAAAAATATATATATATCTGCAGGGTACGGTCCCAAAAGTCAAGAAGGTGGCAAGGACGGATTGCTGCCTGCTTTTTATGTAAAACCCAGATAAAACAGGAGAAAGGAAGAGTGCTTTGTATGTTTGCTGCCTTAAGTTAATTCTAAAGTAATAAAGACAATAAAAATCTAATCCATCTCAGATAAAAACAGGAGGGGGGGTTTAATCTCCCCATTGGGGCCACCCCTCTCGATTTTTCTGCAGGCCCCCCTGAAATATCCCAGAGAAAGCTGAAATATTTATTCAAACGCGCCACTGATTAGGTTCGTTTTTAAGACCAATCGATTTAGTTGGCATCTTGGCAATAGAATTTCGGAATCTTGCGGACTTGGGCATCGTTTCTTTTTCTTTTTGGCTGCAGGGAAAACGTCGAGGGGGGCGTTCTGAAGGAAGCGCATGGCCTGCCCCGAGACAAAGAGATGATCCCCAGCTCTGAGGACGAAAGCTCCCCCATCGACAGCCCCTCCCTGCTCTACCCGGCCTTGCAGCTTTCGGTTCCTGAGGGATCCTCCATTCACAATGCCCAACAGGTGGATTACCTGCAGAACCAGCCCCCGCTCCACAATGGCCTCCTGGGGTCCCTCACTTCCACTCTCATAAACCTGGGGTCCTGAAACAGCACAATAAGACACTGCGCCCTTCAGCGGGCTGCTCCTTTGTTCTAGCCCCTCCGCGTGTAAATATTCCCGTTTCCAACCGCGAGGATCGTCGCATCGTGTCTCTTTGTAAGAGGGAAACACGGTGGTACCACCATATTCTATCACCATTATTTCATACAAAGCAAAAACGGACCACGTTCCACGGGGGTGGTGGAAAATGTCACATGTTTTTTTTTTGCAACTGAGAGAAAAGCTGAAGCCATCCGATCTGAAATTTCTTCTATCCGCACATTCCCTGACTGGCCAAATTCTTGATTTCTGCACTCTCTGTGCCCTAAAACAACGGCACGGAAATCACTTCATTGCAAAAACAACTACAGAGCCAAGCGAAAGTAAAGAGCAGACGGAGTAGCTAACAGCACAGAATCACGAGTTTAAGGTCAGGGTGGGTGTCTGCAGCAGGAACATCTGTTTAAAGTAGAAAGCACCCAATTAAGATTAATTAGGACTTAGGCCTGGACAGCTGAGCACATACAAACACTGATTCCCCCAGAGAGAACAGATGCGAGTTGCATATCACCGTGCCAAGAACCTTCATGACTTGGATAGAGAACCGGCGTTGGAGGGGATTTCAAATGGAACCAAGAAACGAAGGAGGTGGGGAAATCCCGGTATTGATCCTCTGCTGGTGATTCCTTTGGCAGAGAAGTCCAGCAATAGGACTGGAATAACCCTGGAATATCCCTCTTGAAAGGTGTAGGATGGGCATTTGGGCCTTTTGGGACCGATTGCGGAATCCAATGGCATGCAAGTAGTCCATCAAAGCCAAATCACGTTTTTCTAATAATTTTTTTAAATAAATGTAAAATTGAAAAAAACAAAAGTTTATCCAGGGTACAGATTCACTAATTCTTGGTTTGCGTCCAGGTAAAAAAACCCACTGCCCACTTGCTTCTTGCCCGCACGAGTCTTTGTGGGGTTGTTAGTCTGCCTCTTCACCCACCTGCCGTGGCTCCAAAGAAAAGTGTCGGTTGCAACGATGTTCTATGGTAGTTCCTCGAATTTGTGACAGAAGCTGCGATTTTCTATTTGAGGACATTTTCTAAGTGATTGGGAATTATTTTTAAATAGGCATGCACAAGACTGCACAGTGGGCTTAGACATCTCTAGGGCAAATAGTCTTTCTATGTCAGATTTGTGAAGTACATCATCAGTCTCCCAACCCCAGATCTACGTTTGCAGAGTGGGGATCCTGTAACAATAATGCTACTTGGCTTTATAAAGCTGTTTTAAAGATCATATTAATGAAGAACTTACAATAATAGATTCCAAGTACAGGTGGGTCCTCAACTGAGAACAACAGTTGGAACCAGAATTTCTGTTGCTAAGTAAGGTGAATTGTGCCCTGTTTTATGACTTTTTTTTTTGGCCATAGTTGTTAGATGAATCGCTGCCCTTGGGAAGGGAATCATGCAGTTGTTAAGTGAATCTGGTTTCCTCCGTTGACTTTATCGGAAGCCGGCCTGGAAGGTTGCAAGTGGCAATCCCATGACCATGGGATGCTGCAACCTTCTTAAATACACACCAATTGCCAAGGGCCTGAATTGTGATCATGTGACCATGGGGATGCTGCCATGGTTGTACATGTGGGAGGGAGGCCCCAAAGTTACTTTTTTCAGTGTCGTTATAACTTTGAATAGTTGCTAAACGGATGGTTGTTAAGTCGAGGACTACTACCTGTTAAGGCATGATTAGGAGCTCTGCTGCCTACATGACATGGGAGTTATCTAAATATATATTGATTACTCCCTGCTGCCTTTCACTTTCATAACCGCTCAGATCAGAGAAGAGACACAGAGGCACCCAATCGGTTAAATTTACTGCCATCTTTTATTTTAATTATAAATAGAGTTGAGGAGGGGGGGAAACTACCAATAAATATATAAATAGGTAAAAACAATGGAAAAATCCATTGAAGCTTAAAACAGTATTTCAAACACAAATTGATCTGTGTATGGAGGACACAATCCACAAGAGGAAAGGGATGACTCAGCATTCCACCGAAACAAAACCCAAACCAGCCAGAAATATAAGAGTCTGATTTAAGCTCCTCCTAAAGACGAAATTCTCCCTTCTCAATATGAGGCATTAACCTTCCTTAGCTCAGAACCAGTTTCGTCTCTTTAAAACTTCTTAACTCTCCTTGAACAAAAGCAAACCTGCAGATTCATTCCTTCTTCAGGATTTTGAGGTACTGGCCCACCTAACGGGGTCAGTGGGAACTCAATGCCACCCAGAGCAAGCTCTGAAATGGACTTGCCTCAGTTAAAAGTTTAAAACATCTAGAAACCATTGACTATATGATAAAGCCTGAAACTTGGTGTGGAGCAAGCGAGCCTATATGGACCTCAAAAATTCCATTTGTACTCACCAAATATGGAACTAAACTGCTGGTAACTAAACTGATGGGGTGGATCTGAGAACATCTATGGCACCAAGCTGTGGGCGACGAAAGGCAGATAAAGGCTTAGACAATAAATATAGATCTTAGATGTTTGTCTCCAGTCCATTAAAATTATTTTTAAAAGTAGATCCTTTCAAATTCATTTGTGCTTTTAGATCAAGGATAAAAGTTAATATAAAATCTCAAACTTGGCATGTTCTCAAATAGACCCACACGGTCCCGTCATCTAGAGCTGGTGGTTCCCCTTCCTCCTGCTGTTTCCTGCCTGCAGCTGATCCTGCTTTGTTCAAGATCACTAGAGATCCATTTTGGACATAGAACAGCATATGTAGGACCGTAGTGACTGGAACATCTGGAAATATGGGGGGGGGGGAAAACCATTCCATCTACTGATATCTTCGTTCTGCTCAGGAAAACCCAAATGCCTAACGACAGATGAAACTTTGGTGGTGGGATATGATACAAGGAAAATAGCAAGGAAAAATAGATGGGGAAAGCTGATGTTTTGGGGAGAAACAGGGCAAATGGCCTCCTTCCTTGTTGTTGCTTCTCTACATTCCCCCTGTCAACGAGACCAAGTAAAGCTCCTGTTGCTTGATACTTTGCTGAAATGGAGCAGGCACACACTCTACTGCAGAACCCTGGGTAGGGAAGGTCCAACCTCATCAGCAGAGAGAGACCCCACTGAATAAGAGATACATTACCATCCCAGTGGGGAAGAATCATGGAATACAGCCTAACAAAGAGACGTTGCCCACTGTCTGGGTGCCAGGAATGGATTTCTCAGCAAGCAGCAGGTGGAAGGGCTTGGGCGGTTCCGCTTCCTCGTCGCCACTGGAGAAGTCGTCTCTCACAATTCGGTTGTTGAGGCGACTGAATTGGCGAGCTTTCATGCTGTGGGAAAGAGGGAAAGAGCATAAAAAGGAAGTTTAGAAGCTAAGAAAGGTTTTTCTGTTCTGATTATCTGTCTAGCTGGCTGGGGAATTGTGGGAGATGAAGTCCACAGGTCTTAAGGTTGCCAAGGTTGAACACCCCCCTGTTCTACAACATGGCTGACTGATTCTTTCTAAGAATTTTACCTGATCCCTTTATCATCCGTTGTTGCCCAAAGCAAACATACCAATATGGCTTCCGCTCCTGTTTTGTCATCATGCGCCACAGCTGGGCCAGCTCCCTTGTAGCTGCAGTGGAAGCCATGCCTGGGCAAGTGCTAGGAAGAGATTAAAACAGCTGTTTGATCAAACTCATCAAAGGCAGGCAGACAAGATATTGTCAATGTCTCTAAATCCCTCAAAGGTTTCAAGAAAACAATGTTTCTATAGTGAGCATTACCCAAGCCAGGAATTTGACCGCCAGGAGTTCGATCCTGACTGGCTCAAGGTTGACTCAGCCTTCCAAGGTCAGCAAAGTGAGGACCCATATTGTTGGGGGCAAGATACCGACTCTGTAAACTGCTTAGAGAGGGCTGGAAAGTCTAAATGTTATTGCTAGCCCAAGCCAAATGTTTTGCAAATACAGATTCTTGATGCTTAACTGATCTTCGTAAGTGTATTGTATGATTTTTTTTTATTTCTTGATGTATTTATTATATGTTGTTGCTTTACTGCTAAAATGTCTGGTCTTTTGAGGATTTGCTCCCTTATTTATTTGTCCATTTTTGTAAATGTTCCCTAATTGCTTCCTGCTGGCAGTAGAGTATTTACAAGATTCCAAATGGCCCTGAATTTAAAAGCCCCTCGTTAAATCTCAACATAGCAAAGAGCTCACTAGGGCTGTAAGTAAGTCAGCCCCAACTTCCACGATATAAGAATAGAAAGAAAGGACGATAATTGACATTACAGGCCTATTCCAGCGGTGATGATACACAGGTAGTCCTTGACTTACAGTGGTTCATTTAGTGACTGTTCGAAGTTACAACAGCACTGAAAAAAGTGACTTATGACCGCTTTTCACGTTTTATGATCATTGCAGAATCCCTGTGGTCACGTGATTTGTATTCAGATGCATCCCCACGGTCACATGATTTACCTTTGGACACTTGGCGACTGATACTCATATTTATGACGGTTGCATTGTCCTGAGGTCACATGATCACCTTTGATCTCCTTTTGCGACCTTCTGACAAGCCAAGCCCAGGATTCACTTAACAACCATGTGGCTAACTTTACAACTGCATTGTCAAATGAATCACTTGACAAAAGTGGCAAGAAAGGTCGTACAAGGGGGGAGAGGGCAAAGCCCGCTTAACAAACGTCTCACTGAGCCACAGAAACGTCAGGCTCCGCTGCGGTTGTAAGTCGAGGACCACCTGTATCTTGAGAGAAGCTAAACCGCTGCAGGCCCGCTAAGGGTAGCAAGCAAAGGCCTGTGTCTGCCGGGGTCTCATCTCCAGGCCCTCACCGGATGAAGTGCTTGCGGTTCAGGCGACAAAACATGATGAAGCCGTTCACGCACTTCTTCTTCATCTGCAGGGGGGGTGAGGAGGCGTTGCTGCGTTTCTCAGCGCCTGCTGGGGGACGCCGGGCTCTCCTGCCCGCCCCGGCCCCCTTCTTCTTCTTCTGCTTCTGCTTCTTCCTGTTCTTCTTCCTCCGGGGGCCTCCTGACAAGGCCTTGGCCCTGGGGAAGGAGGGGGTCCAGGTGCTGTCGCTGTTCTCCTCGCTGGAGGAGCCGGGGCCTTCGGCTCTCACCGGGGGCGGCTCCTGAAAGAGGAAGGCACAGAAAGAGGCCGGGACAATGGCAGCCGAGGTCCAGGAACTGCCCCGGTCATAAAAGAGAACTTTTGCCTGGCAGGAAGAGGACTTCGGCCATCTCAGGGAAAGCGCTTAACAAGGCGCCAGGAGACGTGGCTGATTGACTGGAGAGGGCGGGCCCCTGCGCAAGGCGATCTGCGCTGGGATTGGTGGTTGGGCGTAAAGGGGGAGGTTCCCTTTTCCCCCGCCTTTTTTTCTTCTGGGTTTGCTCTGGATTGCTCTTTAGATTTACCTCACGATGTGCCTGACTATATGCATATAATTTATATATAAATGTATGTGTGTATGTGTATAATATATATATATATATATATATATATGTATGTATGTATGTATATGTATATGTATATGTATATGTATATATGTATGTATGTATGTATGTGTGTGTGTGTGTGTGTGT